CCTGCAGCTTAGTCGGAATGAGGACATCCATGAATGTTCCACACCAAAGGCCAAGGAAACTCGCCGAGCGGGCAGCAGGAACAAGCCCATTCACCCACCAGCAAGAATGGGTCATGGCATCCACAGGAACACGGGGGAAGGAGGCGTCTCGTGAAGCAAAATCAGCCAACAAGGGCCAGAGTCACGTGTTTTCTTCCACGAGGGGACCCTGGAAAGTCCAGAACAAAGGAGGACGGGGAGGACGGGGCCTGAGAGCCGCGAAGGTGGACGGGAAGGTAGACACCGCACCAGAGAATCCCAGGAACCTGACGTCGATGGTGTCACAGACCCAACAAAAAGCAAGAACCCAGCCGGCACGTGTCTGATGGTACGTGAAAAATCGGGTCTTCAGACCCCCGCTCTTCCTCAGTAAGAGACCAGCTCTGAGGCACACAGAGACGGGCGTTAGCAGAAGAGTCACACAGAAAAAGACGCACCACGGGGTGCAAAGACAGGCCTTAAGGAAGCACTCACAGATCCTCAGTGGCTGGCCGCGCCCAGGTGAGTCCTGCCCGCCGTCCGTGCTGCCCGCTCGTCTTGAAGTCCTCTGAAGCTTCCCTTGGGGTTTTTATGCTCCACAATCCGGGGCCATCGTCCTTCCTGGTGACCTTTATGGTCATCTGTATGCAGAGAGCTTGAAGGCCCGAGTCACCAGCCCACTCAGAGCCTTCTTCTGTGTCCTGGGCAGTCTGCCATGAGCACCCTGAGACCAAGCCGCCTCCTTCCTTCCAATCCTGTTCCCAAAGCCCAGGGGCCGTGCAGGACACCCGCTCCTCCCGCTCCACTCGGAGCGAGCCACCTCTCCCCAGGGCTCTCAAGGCCCAGAGCCACCCCCCCACCCCACCCACCCCCGTGGGCTGTACCCAGTCCCTCCAGTCGCTCCTCTCTGGACATCTTTATCTTTCTGTCAGCCAAAGGGCAAGTTTTCCCAGACTGAACCAAGTGCGTTCTCTGCTGAAGATCCTGTGGGGGTCCCTCTTTCACCCAAAAGACAAAACAAGCTTCATGCCCCCAAATTAAAACAGCATTACCAGCCGGGCGCAGTGGCACACACCTGTGATCCCAGCAGCTGGGGAGGCTGAGGCAGGAGGATAGAGTTCAAAGCCAGTGTTAGAGTCTGTAAACAAGACTGGATGGCGCCTGGCATTTTGCCAGAGGGAATGGTTTGTGAAGTAAAGCCAGCCAGCCATGGAGTGTGGAGATTCCTTACTGGTTGACTGCTGTATCGAGTTTATGTTAATTAAGATAAGCTGTGTGGAATGTATATATACCCCTCCTGTCCTACAATAAACGGCTCCCACTTCTGCTGTATCAATGTACACAAGTTGCTCGTCACTCCCCAGTTATTTTGCTGCAGCTGGACTGTGGCAAGCCAGCCTTTGCAAAAGTGAGGCACTGAGCAGCTCGGTGAGACCCTGTCTCTAAGTAAAATACAAAACAGGGCTGGGGATGGGGCTCAGTGGTTGAGTGCCCCTGAGTTCAATCCTAGGTACAAAAAAGAAAAGCAAGGCAGGCATTGCTTAAAGAGAGGAACAAAAACGTCTAGAACCTTTCATCGCCATGGTCCAGACTGACTTGGAACATTGAGTCTGCATTCGCCCTTGGCCACGTCTCCCTTCAGTCACCCCCATCTTAGCAGCTGAGATCCAGAGCTTGTTTTCACTCAGATCAATGCCCTGTGGAGTGGCTGCAGTCCTCTCCTGTCCTGTGCACTTGGAGGAAGGGAAATTCTCTGTTTTTGATTTAACTATTTTGCAGCAGAACAAAAGGAAACGGCAGGATGTACACTAGCCTGGAGGTGCTCTGGGGACTTCCCTCGTCCACAGATCTCTTGCAGTCACACCTCATGGCTGAAGCCCCATGTCAGTGGGCAGGGAGAGCGAGTCCTGTCACAGGGCAGGAGGTGGCCATTGAAGAGATACAGCCTGCTGCAGTCCACACTCCTGCTCCTGTCTGTTCCCTCTGTTACTCCATTTTCTATTGCTATAACAAAATACCTGAGTCTGCCTTCTTGTAAGAAAAAGAGGCCTATTCACCTCACGGTTTTGTAGGCTGGAAGTCCGACACCAGGACGCCTTGTCTGCTGAGCCTCTGGTGAGGGCTCCTTTGGCTGGGTCACCACACGGTGGAGAGATGGAAGGGGACCTGGCTGACGCAGTAGAGGGTGGGCACTGGGAACCTTGCTTCAGACCCACCTGCTCTGCTCACCTGTCCTGGGTACCTGCACAAGGCCCCACCTCTCCACGTCACCACACTGGGGACCAAGCTTCCAGCACAGGAACCTCCAGGGGACAGAGCAGGTCAAACCGTAGCATGTCCCCGCAGCCCCCTGCAGGCACAGACACACGGACCTCTCTCAGGAGGTGACCCCGAGCCCCGTCCAAGCCCAGATCTCAGGACCAGGTCCCAGAGGGTCATGGTGGACACCTGAGCAGCCGTGGCTCCTCCCCACCTAGAGACAGGTGCACTGGAAGGACAGGTGGCCCCACCCTGTCCACATGTGGCTGGGGACAGGGCCCAGGTGACCACAAGCCCGTTCCCCTCCAGAAAGTGGGGGCACTGGCACCCGAGCACCTGGGGGAGGAGCTTCCCCCGTAGATCCCACCCCTGCCTCCCTGAGGTCTGGGGTGCCCTTGTCCTGCCCCAGGGTCCCCGCCTCGTCCTCTGTGAGGCCAGACTCTCCGTCCACCTCCTCGTGCTCATCTGAAGGTGCCCTCCTGGGGCCTGTGGGGCGCTCCTCGTGACTCGGCCTGTGCTGCAGGTTTGGAAGGCGAAGATCACGCGGGTGCCCCATCCACAGCTGTCCCGAGGTCCGAGCCGGGTTGCTGTCAGCTCCCATCAGCTGAGGCTGAGAGCCGCCCCCTCGATTATCTATCTGAAGGCCTCTCTCCAAACTCAGGAGCCACTTCACACATTCCGAGGCTTGGACAGAAAACACTTTGATTTGTTAAATCAGCCTGTTTTGTTATTAAAGAATCTCTCACTTCTCTCTCTTACTAGCTAAAGATGAAAAGCACTAGCTTCTTCCAACCCTGCAAGACCAGGACGCCCGGGGCTCTGACTCCTGGTTCACACACCAGCCGCTCCTTCTCATAGTGCATGCAGTCAGAAGCCCAGGTTGCAGCTAGTCTAACTGTGTGTAGAGCATGCTGTTCTCTCAAGCTGCTCACCTGGAGCACAGCTCATTTCACGTCTTCACCCTTGAAGTCATCCAGGCACATCTGTGTGCGTGTTGAGTGGCTATGGCTGTAGGTGGCCGGGACAGCAAGTCCCCACCCTTCCCACTGCCCGGCCAGGACCAGTGCATTATCTTTAGTGTTTTTGATGGACACCTGTCCCTTCGGATGCCAGGTTCTGGATGGCTGACCTAGATCAACGAAGGGCCAAGGGGTGCTGAACTAGAAAACAGCCCCCAAGGGCACTTCTTCTGCATGTTGGGACTTCTTTATGGGACAGCTACAGGTCTTTAGCCCCATTCTGAGACCCCAAAAGAAGGAACAGCCTTGTCTGGGCCTGTTGTTCTCATATCAGAGAGAACAAATAATAGAACCACACAATGGCCTTAGACCTTTTAATTACATGTGACTTATGGGACTTCTACTCACATTTCGTTGGCTGTTAAAGTGACAAGACAAACTTGATATAAATGGGGAGGGAAAGCATGATTCTCTCACTGAGAGGCACAGGCTCTGACAGGAAATTCTGCACCTCCCCTTTTAGGGGAGGTCCTTCCTCATGAACACGGCTGTGAACTTGCGTTTTATCTGATAAGGACGTTGCAACAAGATCCATACTTAGGTACTATAATAGTCCATTTTCCATTGCTATCACAAAATACCCGAGGCTGGGTAATTTGTAAAGAAAAGAGGTTTATTTGGCTTATGGTTCTGGGGCTCGGAATACATGGTGCCAGTGTCTACTCTACTATGGCAAACGCCTCCTGGCAGATGTCATCACAATGGCCAGGGTGCGCAGAGAGATCACATGGAGAGACAGGAAGTTGGGGTGACAGGGGTCAGTTCTGCTCTTCTTTGACATCTTATTTCGTCCATCAGGTTTTCATCACTGCAACCAAAATTCCTAGCAAGAGCAGCTCAGAGGGGGAAATGGCTATTTTGGGTCACAGTTCCAGAGATTTAGACCATGATGGGTGACTCCACAGCTCTGGGCCCATCATGGTGGAAGGGCGCCGTGGAGGGCAGCAGCTCAGCCTGCGGCGGCCAGGAAACAGGCAGGGACCACAGGGAAATGCACCCTTGCAGAGGACACCCCCAGGAACCCCCCTCTCCAGCCATGCCCTGCCCACAGTTACCAGCGGTCAGTCCACCCTGGCACAGACTGCTGAGGTCACGCTCTCGCTAACCAGTCATTTCACCTCTGGAGTCTTCTGCCTGAACACAGGGGCTCTGGGGGGGCACCTCGTGTCCATGCCATGGCCCTGTAAGAACTGGCTGGTCCCACACACCACCGGCCCTTCCCAAGGCAGCACCGCAGTGACCTAAGGACCTCCCGCTAGACCCTCTGCTCAGGCTCCCCCACCTCTACCCTGCCACACGTGACCCTGGGGGACAGTCCACACCAGACTCAGCAGATCATACGTCAAGCAAGGCGGGACGTGCTGCTTTCTTGGAAGACAGTAGGTTTGGGAGGCACACGCCTTGTCTGGGGTGTGACAGTTCTAAAGCACAGAGACGCGGGGTTGGCAGCAGGTGGCTGGCAGGCAGGGAGCCAGCCGCAGGGGGCGCTTCACTCCAGGAGTCTAGCTTGAGAGGACGGACGTGTCCACTCCCTGCAGCTCAGTAAGGCCCTGTAAGGTCACTTATGCTTGGAGCCGAGCAGGATGGGACGCTGCCCAGCTGATGTCCTGAGGAGCCGGCCGGGTCTTTCCCAGGGAGCCCAGGGGAGCCCGCCGTGCCCAGCCTGTCCCTCCCGCCCGGACCTCACGCTGTCTCTCCCCGCAGTTCGACATGCAGAGGGTCACGCTGGAGGAGCTGAAGCACATTCTCTACCACGCCTTCCGGGACCACCTGACCATGAAGGACATCGAGAGCATCATCATCAACGAGGAGGAGAGCCTCAACGAGACCTCGGGGAACTGCCAGACGGAGTTCGAGGGAGGTAGGCGCCTGCCCCTGCCCCGTCCCCCTGGGTGGGCCAGCGCCCCTGGGCGCTCCTCGGGAAGCATGTGCCGCAGCCTCCAGGGCTGAGGCCGGCGGGCACTACAGCCGGAGGCCCAGGACTGCGCTAAAGGTCTTTGCAAAGATTCAGGGGCCTTAGGTCATTCTCTTCATTTTCCCCAAACTCTGCGCTTTTGCAGAAGTCCCCTTGACCCTGTCTGCTCTTGTATGGCCGAGTCAGCGAGGCCCCATGGCTCTGTGACAAGAGCTCGCTAAGGAGGTCGGCGACCGAGGACCAAGGCGTTGGCTAATGATGTGACCTTGGCGAGGGGCGTGCCCCCTCTGTGTCCTGGTCTGTGACTCAGGATAGTGACACCGACTTCATGGGATCTCTGGGGATGGAAACCTGCTTCCCCAGAGCAGGGGCCAAACAAGAGCCCAAGGACAGTGTTTCATGAGCTGAGGCAAGGGGCCACGGGAGAAATGGGCCTCCTGAGCTCAGCCAAGGGGCCACGGGAGAAATGGGCCTCTGTGAAGCCCAAAAAGAGGCCCAAGCTCCCATGGGCTGTCTTTCTTGGGCTCATGAAGGAAAACTTAAGGGAAAAGAAAAAGCCTCCCTCATCTCCCAACCAGCTGAGCACTTCCTCTCCCCCTACGTCTGACAATCCCACCTGTGCAGCAGCCTCAAGGGACAGGGAGAAAAATTAATTGGATTCAAACACCTTAACAGGCGACTGAACCCTTGAACACGTCCGTGTCCACAGCTGGTCAGCTGTCCCGTGGACACCAGAGTGAGATTGGCCATCCGGTCTTGATGCTGCCGCAGAGACGGCCAAGCACCGTGGCCGGCAGTTCAGGCTGGGCTGGCCCAGCGGGGAGCAACACCTCTCCTGAGGCGTTCAGATCTAAGTCCAGCTGAGGCCCAGCGGCTGCCTCGGTTTCCCTTCTGTGACAGCTGAGCTGCAGCAGACATGAAGTTTGGGGTTGGGGCCACACACATCCTATGGGGCACCGCCATGAAGGTCACGGGGCTCTCACGGCCAACAGCACCCGGGCAGACCTTCAGGGAGGATGGAGGGAGGGTCGATGGGGAACATAGGGTTACACTGTGCCCCCCCCATCCACCTGGCTCCCAAGGGACTCTGGGCTCCAGCCCCCACTGTGAGGGACACTCTCCAGGTGGGCAGAAGGGGGCATTTCTGGGCGTCTCCTTTTCCACAGAATCTTTGTTTGTGGGTCGGTGTTTGGCTCTGGGAGACGCTGCAGCCGTGGTGACCTGGGGAAGGCCAGACCACACAGGAGAGCCACCCCCACTCCAAGCTTCTCCACTTCTTACCACGCATGTGGAGCAAGCGCCCACTGTTGCGCGTCTTCACATTCAAGAAATGTCTTAAAAATATGATGTCAGCACTGCCGGGCCTCAACTGCCTCCTGGTTTGTGTTTAGGGGTAGAAACCTTCTGGAGTGGGTATGGCTCAGTGGTGAGCTTGCCTAGTGCATGTGAGGCCCGGGGTCCCTGCCCAGAGCCCACCCCCCCACCAAGTGCAACAGAATTTCCCAGTCACAGGCATGGCTGGAATCACGGGTGCCCAGTGAGTGCCCAAGGGCCTCTCCACACGCAAGGCCCTTACATCTGTCCTTTAGGCAGAGGTGTCTACAAGGGATGAGCCCAGTCCTGTGGCCCCTCGCACCTTAGGACAGAGGAGGCGGTGGGGGACCTTGTGGCTAGCCTGGGCCTCCCTGCCTCCGTCCTGCTTCCATGTCTGTGTCCACAGCAGGCCCCTGGGGATGTGCACCCTCCCACACTCCTATCCAGGCCTGATCCGCGCTGCCCTGGTCCCCTGGGGCCTCCCAGGCTGTCAATCACCCTGCCCTCTCTTGCCCCTGCCCAGCTGGGAGTCTTGTGCCACCACCTCAGCCGCAACCTCGCTGAGACCCTCAGCTGCCGTGGCGTGGGCTCCGCCCCCAGGGCTACAGACGGGGAGCAGGTGGCGGAGGGTGGAGCCTTTCCTCAGAGTCAGACAGGTGTGGGATGTGAAGCAGGTCCCCCAGCACAGCCCCCTGGCTCAATCACTGTCATAGGTCATTTGCTGGGGCTCAAGTCCCTCAGCGTCCCCACGCAGGTGGCAGATCCTCATGCCGTTCAGTTTGGGTTTCACAGCCAGGGAATGGGGTTATGTCTGGCAGTTGGGCTGAAGTGCCACCCGTGCGTGTGCATGTGAGCCCTCTTGATGCCGTCCCTAAATGGAATACCAGCTGTCAGATTCTTCTAGACATTCTGAAAACAAAGCCATCAACCAGGAATAAATAGTTTCTGGGAGAGGGAGACAGGCCGAGCTGCCCGCACCACCCAGCACCCCCACGATGCATGAGAAGACTGGCCCAGGAGAGCTCCATCCATGGGCCCTTCCCACTCAGCGCCACCGCCCTGGGGCCCTGGAATGTCCCTTCACCTCTCATGCAAAGCCTGGACAGCAGTGATGATCCAGACACCAAAGCATCCAGGCTCCATGGAAGGTCAGAAAGAATGGGGTTCCCGGATCAAGGTCTTCAGCTCAGTCACACTTCTGAGTGGAAAGACCTCCTGTCACCTGGCCAGGCATGGCAGGGATCTCATCTCCAGCCAAAGGAAAAGGGCACCATGTGTCACCCTCACCGTCTGCCCTCAGCGTGACAGGCTGTGATGTTCCTGAAACCAGGCCCGTCTTCCTGGGGGACAGAGGAGGTGGATGCCCAGCTGAGGCCAGAGGCCACAGAGATAGGGGACAGTTTCCGAAGGGTCTGGGACTTCAGACAAAGGGGGAACTTTCCTCCCTGGGGGACACTGACCAGCACCTTACAGGCATTTTCTGAGGAATAAAGCAATTCCAAGACTCTGGGGAGAGGCTGGGCGTGTGTTTAATAAAGGTGCTAAAGCAGAGCTGGCCGATTCCGGCCCTGCATGGAGGACTGGCCTGGAGGATCCCCGCACCCTCCCTTCCCGGAGTCAGGCACCGGAATAAGTGCTGACAGCCTCGCTCTCATCACTGGTGGAATGAAAATACGGCTGGGGAAGGGCTCCAGCTAGGCCAGGTAATGCTGCCCTGAGGTCAGGAGTGTGGGGACGCAGCCTCCTCGGAGCTGTGGATGTGCAGCCAGAGAGGAGGGGAGGAGGCAGGAGCCGCTCCTGCCCGCAGACGAGGACCCTTTCCTCTTAGTGAGGCAGCACAGCGCAGGACCTCACCTGTGGTCTCCCTCACGGGCCACACCCTCCATGGCCACTCTCACTGCTCTCTCCCAGGCCACACCCTCCATGGCCACCTTCGCCTGCTCCCTCCTGGGCCACACCCTCCATGGCCACCCTCAGGCCTTTACTGGACACTGGCATCTGAACACTTCTGATGTCCTCAGGATACAAAAAATTCCTTTTCCACCTTATTTCTTTGTTAGTTCCGCTTCAGTCCATGGAAACGGCCGGCTGCCGGGACTCATCCAATGCTAGCCCTGGAGGGATGACAGCAGCCCAGTCCCCAGCCTGGTGGCTCTGGCTCACTGTAAGAATCCCCCGAGCTGCTGCTGTTTGGTTCTTTAATTCCTGAGCTTTCAGCGGATCTGCAGCAGGACTTGGAGCTAGCTGCTGTCATTCGAATCTGCCTCACTTGGGAGCCAGCACCTCTGAAGACACACAGCCCTGTTTCCAAACACAGAGACTGAGGCGGGAGGGATCACAGCCCCATTGCACCCGGGATGGCTTGGTGGGTCAGGGGCAGGGTGTGCAGACCACAGTCTCCAGGAGAAGAACCAGAGCCTCTGCCTGTCATTTGCCAAATGGAACAGTGTGAATTGCTGTGACAACAGGTAGGGGAAAGACAGTCTGTCGTGAGCTTGCAACCCTGGTCTTGCCAATGCAGCCCCTGTCTGTGGGTGCACGGAGCTCGTTAGCAAGTTCCCAGGAGTCATTGAAAAACAGGACACCCACCTCTCTGTCCTCCTGCCTCTGCCTCCCCACTCCCATTTCCTCCCCAGATACCTCCCAGACTCCACGGTGTCGATTCTGTGCTGGAAGGAGCGCTCAGTACCTCCTGGGAGGAGAGGTGCAGAGTGGATCTCCAGCAGTGGGAAGCTGCAGCAGGCTCTGGAAAGGAGCCACCCTCCAAAGCCTAGGCCTCAAGTTACCAAGTCACCCAGGCTTGTCCCCCCGAGAATCCAAAGCTCGTACCCACGTGAAAACACAGATGTTCACAGCAGCCTCAACCCCACTCATGACAGACCAAATGGAGACGCCCAAATGCCAGTGAGCTGAGGAGTGGATGGGCGTGGTCTGTGGCACTGTGGGGCATTATCTGTCAGCAATCAGAAACGCCAGGGCGGACTGTGGGCCAGGGCAGAGAGCTGCCCAGCCTGCACCAGGCCCGGGTTGAGGTCCAGCCCTGCAAACAGGAAAGCAGGAGAGGAGGAGCAACATGAGAGGATCTGCAGCCTCAGCTGAGGGACAGAGGCCAGTCTCCCATGTCGCCTGGCTCAGGGGGACAGTGGGGACAGAGGCAGAGCCTGGGTTACCTGTTGCTGGGGCAGGGCAGGGATTGGGGAATGGATGCTGGGGTAGAGGGTTTTCTCTTGAGGGTGACCAGATGTCCTTGGTTGGGCACTGCTGTGGGCATACAGACTTGGCAGAGTGTGAAGCAGCCCTGGGTCATGTCCACCTGAAGGGCAAACTCAGGGTATGTGAGCTGTGTCTCAGCTTAAGGGATAAATCAGAGCTACACCATTCAGATAGAAAACGGAGCGGCCGGCAGTGTAGGTCAGTGGTGAGTGAGGGCCCAGCATGCGCGAAGCCCTGTCTTCCCTCTCCAGCACCCAGTAAAACCAAGTGAGAGGAGAAGGCCCTGTGAGAGCCAGGTGGCACCTTGATGAGAGAAGGGGTCAGAGGGCGCCTCTAGCAGAGAGGAAGGGGACAGAGCTTGGGAAAAGTGCCCGGCTCCCCTGTGGGGGACAGGGAGGAGACCTGCTCCTCTGGCACAGGGATGGCCAGGGAGGGCACTGGATGGGCTGGGAGCAGAGCAGAGACCCTGGCAGGAGGGAGCTGTGTCCCTCCATGTGGAGCACAGGATGGGGCGGATCAGGGCTCTGAAAAGCTGCATCCAGCTGCAGCTCAGGATGGATTAAGTAGGAGAAGAACATGAGCCCGCAGGTGCAAGACCAAGCCCAGCGTTTCTCCAGCAATCTAAGGTAACACACAGCTTTTGTGTGGATTAAATATTTGAAATAAATCTTTTGATGGCCAGAACAGTTATCATTAGCTCCTTTGACAGAGAGAGAGAGACTGAGGCTCAGAGAAGCTCGGGCTCTTGCTCAGAGCTCCCAAGTGGCCCTTGTCGAAGAGGCCAGGTCTCAGACTCACAGCTCATCCCGGGCTGACTTGTGGCTTTCTTGGGGAAATAAAGAACAGACACTAAAAGTAAATAAATAAACCACAATACAGTGCAATGCACATACCGGATGGAAGGCAGTGGGCCTTTGTTATCACCAAGGAACACGGACACCACGGTCTTATTGCTGCCAACCACACTGGGGACTGGAGTGTGTCTTCCTTGGAACTTTCTGTTACTAAGCAGCATATCAAGACGTCAGGGTACTGGAATAATAGGAGCAGACCTGGGCTCTCACCACCTCATCATTTGCTGAGCGACCTTGGCCGCCACTTCTGGGAGCTCCAGGCTCCTCATCTGTCAGCTGGGGACAACACGCCCAGTGTACGTGACCTCTGCCTCTGAGCACGACTGCATATCAAACAAACAAAAAGCAGAGAACATAGCACCCAGCCCACAGAGGTGGGCGTTCTGTAGGAAACAGGAGGCTCACGGATTTGCAGGAAGGAGTGAGCCTGCATCCGGCCTGGCGTGCCTCAGAGCCACCTTGGGTCCTTCACAGCAGGGAAGGTTCTTGAACCCCGTGTTATGGAGGAGGAAACCGAGGCCTAGGGAGAAGAGTGGCTCGAGGTCATATAGGGGGTGGGAGCACCATGACGGGGGGAACATCATCACGGGGGAGCATCATGATGAAGGGAGCACCATCAAGGGGGAGCACCATCAAAGGGGAGCATCATGATGAGGGGAGCACCATCACGGGGGAGCACCATGCTGGGGCAGGCCGCATGAATGGGGTTTCCTCCCAGCTCTGAGGTCCTTTTGGGAGATGCCAGAATTCAGCATAAAAGGATTCTCCTTGAGGCGGCGTCTGAACTACAGGCTCACGCTAGGGTCTGCCTCAGAGCCCCCGTGGCCAGGGATGAGCCAGAGCCCCCCTCTGCCTGCTGGACTGCTGCAGACTCTCCAGCTCCTCCTCCCTCCTTTATCTGGGCTCTCCGGCTGCTTTGAAGGATTTTCAGATCAAAGTTGGAGCCACTCTCCTGGGTCTAATCCTGTTGCCTGTGACCTTGTTTCCTGAGTGTCCTTCACAAAGAAGGCCTTCAGCAAAGACTTTCTCCCTCGGCCCAGCACATGGTCCTCTCTTCTGAGAGCTTTCCGCCAGCCCTGGGGACGGACCCGGTAGCACAGAAGCGTTTCCGTGCAGGCGAGTGCCCAGGATACTCAGCCAGTATCCTGGAACGCGTTGAGATGCGCCACCTCCACACCCTCATCTCGCTTTCCGCTTCATCCTTTCCTTCTGAGACACCATCTCCCCTCTGCCTCCTAAGAGCTGGTGTCTTTTGTACTTTCCTGATCCGGGGAGAGGCCATCTCCGAGCCAAGGAAATGTTCTTCCTTCAGCTAAGAATATAAGATCCAGGATCCATTAGCGAGTCGAGCACTGAGCCTCAAAATACTTGAAATCACTCAAGGGAAGCACAGTGCAATGGATCAGAGGGTCCAGGAGGGCTAGAGACACCAGCAGGGACGTAGGCGACGTGGCGGGGGTGCCAGAGCGCAGCTGGGCCTGGCTCTCCGTGAGGCCAGGAGGAGCCTTCTCCGCTGAGGTGGTGTTTGGAGACCCCTTGACAGCCCTGACCTCTTCTCCCAGGGAAATCTCTGCCTGCCCTTAGAAGCCTGGCCATCTTCCTCCCTCCTGTCTGTTAGTTCCAGCATTTGGAGGGGCCACTTGCGGGCAGGGAGAAGAGGGACCTGGGATGGAAGGCTCTGTGTGCTCTTGAAAGGCATGTGGAGCCGCTTGGCGTTTCTTTGCCAGTCTTCAAGAGCTGGATGGGAGACCTGTCCTCCCTAAGAACCACACACGTGGGTGCACCAACACCCATCCACACACACTCTTTTCCCCAGCAGCTCAAGGTCCACCCAGGCCCGCTGAAGCGAGACTGAAGAAGTTGCCTGATCACCCAGAGAGCTCTTTAAAACACCTACTCCCCGCCTGAGACCTGGGGAGGCCATTCTGCTACCGACTGAGAATCCCACTGATGTGGGGTCCAGTGGTGCTGTTCTTGGGCCAGGGGCAGCTTGGTGGAGAGGGCTTCCTGCCTGCCCCGGGGCATGGGGTGTCAATCACGTAGGACACCACTGGAGAGCAGAGCTAGGGCCAGGAGTGGGGGACGTGGAGGGACCAGAAGCCCTTCTGGGGTAGCATGGCACCTGGCAGAGCCCTCCTCCTCCCACAGCCACTATGCCTTCTGGTTATTTCCATAGCCCTGTTTCTGGCCCACATTAGTCACCCACTGTAATGATTGCTTTGATGAGACCTACAAATGATTTCACATGAGCCTTGTAAAAATAAATGGTGGTACAAGGCCCAGCCTGTCTGAAAGATGAAGCAGAAGAGAGCAAATCAAGGTCAGGCCAAGCTCAGGCCTGGTTAGACCTGGGGCCACAGGCTATGGTGGACCCCTTGCTTCCAAAAATTGAGAGGGCTTGTGCCTCCCTGTCTTCACGCTGGAGAAGAGAGTGTTGTCACCACTGCTCAGGCCTGGGCAGGACCCAGGCTTGTCATACAGATCACTGGGATCCACCCCCAGAGCGTGGGTCAGCAGATCTGGAGTGGGCCTGGCTAGGGATCTGCTTTTTAAATAAGCTTCTGCTGGGGCGGGCTGCTGCTGGCCCAGGAGCCTGGATCGAGAGACATCTAAAGTAATGTCAGAATGGCTGGGCGTCATTTTGACCAGGGACTACCCTGGGGCAATTCCAGGAAGGTGAGTTGCTCCCAGCTAGGATACAGGTACAGTGAGGCATTGCCACCTCACCCCTCCTGTTAGCCACAGAAATGCAGGTGGCTGGTGATGTCATTTACAAAATCACTCCAGCTGCATTTATCTGTGCTTGTCCCTTCCTCTGAAAACGTCAGTCAGGGCTCCTGTTGGAGAGGTTCATCTTTCCCCATCCTTTGCCAGGTGTTCAGTCCCGACAGGGGCCATGAGCAGCCTCACCCTGCAGCAGGCTGGGCTGTGGTCTCACTGTGTCCCTCTCTCTTCTCTCTCCTCCCGACCCCTCCTTCCACGTCCTTTACCTCCACCCCATCCCTACCTTCACCCCCACCCCACCCCAAACAGTGCACTCCCAGAAACAGAACCGGCAGACCTGCGTCCGCAAGAGCCTCATCTGCGCCTTCGCCATGGCCTTCATCATCAGCGTCATGCTGATCGCAGCCAATCAGATCCTCCGGAGCGGCATGGAGTAGCCTCCCGCCAGCCTTCCTGCCGCCAGCTCACCGCGCATGTGCATGCCCGCGGGCGGACTCTTCCTGCGCTCCGCAGATCTGGACCTGTGGCCAATGCATTGATGGTACCCTTCAGGAAAGAGCCCCAGGTTGCAGGGCAACCGGGATTGCAAACCCACTCCATCTCCTTGGCAGGGACACACAAGGGCTGTCTTCAATGCTTTAATGGTTTTGTTTCCTAATGCAATAAATAGCCAGGAGTTCCGAGTTATTGCTTCAACCGCCAGTAGTGACTCTGAAGATAAACTTCATTCCTGTCTCGGAATTCCAGTGGCCATCCAGGTGTAACGGTGGCGGCGAGAGCTAGAGGAGAGAGGCGCGAGCCGTTGTCACCACCATCCACACCCCCTTCTTCCAACCCAGGGCCCAGAGCCTCGGGCTGAGGTGGACCCTCAGCCCCAGGAGGCTGCCTTCTGAGTTGCTACAGAAGAGGGGACTTTCCACCTTGCCCTGGTTTCTCTCTCCACCCGTGGAGACCCCCCAAGGCGTGAGGGGAAAGCCATTGACAGGGTGCAGCCCTGGCGGCCGCCGCTGCACCACCCTGCTTCCGTTCCTACTGCCTTTCCTACAGGACGTGGGGAGAGCTGGGCGCTCTCATCGGTTTCCGTGGCACTTGGCCTTCTGTTCCTAGAGCCCACCCCGCACCAGCATTTTGGAATCTGCAGAGAGCCCTGATCCCAGCTTTGCCGCCTGTGCTGAGAAAAAGAACCACGAATCACGGGCATCTCAACACCCGGACGTGTGGACAGGGACGGCTGCTTCCCGTGCAAGGCTCTCCTGGCCCCTTGTCCACGTAATCTCGTCCTCCCCCACACACTCACCCCTGCTTCTTGGCAGGGGCAAGGCCAACAGCGGGAGGGGAGAGAGGAGACTGGTGCAGAGGCCTAGCAGCCCCCACCCTCGGTGTCTGGCGTAGCAGCCCCTCCAGGTTCCCAGGCTAGACCCCTCTGTAGGTTCAGGTCACCTGCATCTTTCCTGTCCTCATCTTCAACTTGCTTCATTAAGTCTTCCCCAGCTAAAGAAGAGAAATCTGTTCCTAAGCAGGATGATGGGCAGAGGGAGCCACGGACATCCTGGCTTTCAGACTCGCAACTAATTCACACGAACACGTCGGTGCGCTTGGCCACTGCAGCAGGCATTCACTCCTGCCTGCAGAGCACTTCTGCTGGGAAGGGACCTGACCCCAATGGTCAGGTGGGCACCCTCCCAGCCGCCTCTGTCAGCTCCAGCTTGTGGTCAGAGTGGCCAGTGGCCCTGGACGTGCTGTCTCTGTGTATGTTTCCGGCTCAGGTCTGTATTTCTGTAATGCAATTGTCTGGCTCCAGGACACCAGCTCCGGTCCCCCTCCCTTCAGGACTGGGGCGGGGTGTCTCCTCTCCCAAGGCAGGGGTGGGTGCTGTGGTGCCGCCTGTGTCCCCCCGGGCCTTCCCTCTGCTTTCTCCCTGCTGCCTTCTTAGATGTGGAGCACCCAAGGTCTCCACTAGGGTCTTTGTCCGACTCAGCTCTGCACCGTGGGGCGGCTGTAGAAACCCTCGCACCGCGGAGAGCTGCACATTCACAATGAGCACAAGTCACACTAGGGTTTGAGCCATAGAAAGAGGGAGCAGATCTAAGCTCCCAGGAGCCCAGGGGGTGACGTCCTCGTCAAACTCCTTGGCATCTGGCACATCCAGGCCGGGCTAAGGGCAGCAGCCTGCTTGCCACTGCCCTGCCAAGCCCCGCCCCATGCCCACAGCACCCCTGCCTTTCTGTCCCTCCCCTTGGCTGAGGACTGCAGTCCCCTTAGGATACCACAGGTCCAAATGCTGAAGCTGATCCAACTTCCTCCATAGCTCCTTCCCAGGGCACTCCCCTCCCCAGCTGGGCATGGGCAGGAGGGCACTGCAGGTCTGGTAGGGACACCTTTCCCTATCTTTTGCTGATCTTGAAGCCCTAAACCATACCCTTCTGGGAACAGAGGCTAGACTAGGTAGGAACCCAGGGATGGTCCTCTGAGGACCCTACCCCATGAGAAGGGGTTGCATGGCGGCCTCCGAGGCTGGGTGGCTAGGTGGCACGCAGCAGGTCCTGCCTCCCCTGGAGAGTGTCGACCTCAAGGGAGGCCGGGTTTGATTTTTTGGCAGGAGGTGAGATGCGGTACAGGACGAGCATCTAGAGCTGCTCTGGGGGGCACCAGCGCCTGTTCCCTGCAGAGCCCGAGCAACCTTTCCCTTAAAGGACCCCTTGCTCACTCTCAGGGGTCTGGAATCCAGCCAGAGAGAATCCAGGAGCATGTGTCCTGCTGGGTGTTGCTATGGGGAGGGGAGGGAGGGAAGCCAGCGTTCTCCTGACTGCCTGGAGGTCACCCTAGCACACGGCACCGGGGCTGAGGGCTGCTGTGTGTGGAAGCCTCCTGAGCTAGTAGGCATTCCTTAGACTCTGGGGGCTCTGAGTTTGTCACCGGGACTTGAGCCCTCGCTGCTTTGCCTGGACGGTCTGTCTTAGGTAGACCTGGACTACCAGGCGGCCCCATTCCCAGCCCTGCTCACACAGCGGCTGTGCCAGGGCTCTGCTGCTAGTCAGCCTCCTCATCACAGCGGCCATGGGGTTCACAGCTGAAAGTTCCAGAAGGTGCTGTCCCCTATGCCCCAGGAGGGCCCTGTGGGCCTCCACTGGAGGTGACCTCTTCAGGAACTTCCTCTAGAGGCAAGAGCCACTATCCTGTAGGAGACGAGATGTAGGACTCAGGGACCAGGGCTGGTAGCCATGGGTGGCTGAACGCTCGGCAAACCCAGCTTGACTCATGCTGGCTACAAGAACGGGTGACCATCCTCCCCCACCCTCACCATGCAGATGACCATCAGGAAGGCTTTTTACCTATGAGAGAGAGAGAAGTGGACCTGGTCCCCTAGCCCCTAAAGAAACTGTCTCTCACCATTCCAGGTGCAGACAGAGCCCCCAACAGGATTCAGCATTGGAGCTGCTAGCAGTGGCTTCCAGAATGTGTGTGGGTCCCATGTGACTATCCGTAAGGAGAAGGAAAGGGGTGTCGCCATGGCAACCCTTGCATTCAGCCCAGAGTTTGCCATGGCACACAAAAATAGGGACTGTTTTCTTAAAGAACTCGTGTTCCCCCTGATGGCAGCCTGGCTGCTGGTGTCCCCTATCCTGCCGGGAGGGAACACTGCCCTCCCAAGAATCTGGGTGGTTCCTCTGCCTTTTCCTCTTGTGTTTGGACTTGTTCTTCCATTTACTCAGGAGAAAAGGAGCCACCTGGAAGCTGGTGGCAGCATCCCTTCCCCCACCTCTCCCCTCCACCCTGCCTCCCAGAGCAAGAATCCCTAAATCCAGGCAAAAATATCATCTGGAAGGAAAAAAAATATATTTTAAGCCTCCAATCTTGAAAAGCATCTGTTTGCCTGGTGAGAAGTTCTCCTGGCAGAGCATGTGAACTTGAGTGAGCTGAGGTGGAGATGGGGTCTCGGGCATGCCCAGGGGCCACAGAGGTTCCTGGGTATTGCATGGCAGAGACCAAGTGGTGCGTGAGGGGTCGTCTTCCTCTTTACCTGCTCCTGTCTCCAATGTCCCATGGTGAATGCTATCTCCTTGTCCAAAGCACCTCATGGAAGATGGGCAGCTCATTTTGACAGGCGCGCTCCTCCCAGCGCCCCTCCCCTGGATCACAGTGTGGTATGCTTCCCCTGAGAGCCGGGAGAGGAGAAGGTCATCTTATTCCAAATGCCTCCTGCTGGGCACAAGGCAGACTCAGGTCATAAGTCAAGGAGAATTTTGCACATTGTTCTTAACCTGAGCTAGAGGCCTCCCTGGGGTCATATGAGGACACAGCCAGAGGGTGGCCATGAGGCCCTCGAGGGCACTCCCTGGGCTGGCGCTGCTTGCCTTGGGGAGCTCCTCTTGGGCTGATGTCTGGCTCACCAACCTCAGAGGCTGCTGAGCACCGCTCCTCCCGACCACAGCCCTCCAACCACACTGGGTCCCCCTACTGCAGGGTTGCTGTGCAGGCCCTGGTACTCATATTGCTGTTGCCCTGCTCCCCTGAGATGCAGAGAGGGTCTGGACCCTCCTGCCAGGGGGGTCCTTTTAGTACAAGGCCATGGTGTGGCGGACGAACTGAGATTATGCTTCTAGACTCGGGCTGTGTGATCTGCCTTCCCTGGAGAACATCTTCTGAAACGACCCCAGATCAGAAGGTTTCATGGGCCTCTTCGGCGATGCCCACAGGGCTGAGCCTTGCCATAGCCATCTCCCTCTCCACCGAGGGCTCAGCTCCCCGCCAGGGAAGAGTCCATCAGAAATAGAAGAGAATCATGATCCCGCAGCCGGGGTTTCAATTTCAATTATTTATAGTGATGGCAAAAGAGCGGTGGACCTGGTGCCCTTCACAGCCTGTCCCCAGGATAATTTAGGTGTCAGAACTGCTCAGCATCACTCCATATTTACTTTGACCAAGTCACTCAGGGGACTGTCCTCGGCCACGTGGCCTTGCCAGGACAGTTGGTTTGGAGGAGCAAGGCCAGTGTACCAGCCAGCTAAGCACTTTCCCTAATGTCCTGTGCTCTTTGCTGATGCACATAGTCATTTTAACAGGGATGGTTTCTCCTCGATATTGGTTTAGGTTCCTCTTTACATGGTCTCAAGGGACATGGAAAAAAAAAAAAGTCTTTTTTGAGGCAAAATTGTCTTGGTTCATTATGCCACCAAGAATCAGGTGTATACAGTCTCAGGAAGACCGTCCTCTGTTCCTGGACACCTGTGTGGTCCCCTGCACCTGCCCCTATGCTGGGTGACAGGCTGGCTTTCAAACCAGGCTTCTCACACTCTCCACAGTTGTTCAGGTGCGAAGGGGGTTGAGACTGGGATTGTCCAGGGGTGGGAGAAGCAGGCTGAGGAAGGAACATTCTGGGAATGTGAAATTCAGTTGCGGTGCCGCCCCCTCCCCGGGCCTGAGAGAAGGGTTTTGAAGGCTCAGATGCTCTGAGCATTGTCCCTGAGTTCCTGGCCTACTTTGAGAACATATGGGGGATAGAGTGCCGTGTGGCTGCCCATCAGCCTGATCCAAATGACATGCCCTGTGCATTCAAGAGGAGGCTGGTGGTTCACCTTGCCGGGGAGGTCACAGGCACCTGCCAAGCTCAGAACACGTCTTCCTGGACCCACTGGACGGTGGCCAGGAAGGCAGAAGCCCTGGAGCGGAGCCAGTGCCGGCAGGTGGGAGACCAAGGAGACCGCCCCTCCCCCAATAGCCAAGTGATTTGAGTGGCTGCTGTCCTTGGCCTCAGGTTCCTCATCTCTGAAGCCAGAAGACAGGCCACCCTGAAAGGTCCTCCCCTGGGGACATTCTACTTGATGTGAAAGGCAGGTGAGTGGCTGCTGCTGTGAGGGTCTTCCCAAGTCCATGAGGCCACTGTGACACCGCCTCCCGTGCGGTGTCCACTGTCTGTAAAGAAAGCAGCACCCCTGGTGGGTGCCACACAGGCGAGAGGTGCTGCGTGTCCCCTAAGGACGGGCTCTAGTCCTGCCCTTAGCAGGGGTGAGAGCCATGGTTCCGTCTCCCCACCCCAGCTAGGTGAGCCTGGTGACTCGTGAGCAGTGGCGGGGGGCAAACAAAACCAGATTCCAAGAAAGGTCGCTCAGCCCTGCGTCAGAGGCTGCCTCACTGAGGCTGTGGACACGGGGCATGATCTCCAGCCATTGTCCTTTCCTGTCCTTCAGGCCACTGGAGCACGTGATGGTGGTTTGTAGTTACCTGTAGCACTGCAGAAGGCAGTGTCGCAAGCCCTGGGGATTGTCAGGAAGTAGATCAAATCAACAGTCCTGGGGTCCATGCCTGCGGTGGTCCTGTGGCGGTAGCCGTGCACTGAGCCGGGAGCCTGCTGTGGCTGTGACCATCACGGGGAGGCGTGGCAGGCCCCAGGAGCAGCAGCAGCAGGACCCCGAGGGTCCCAAGATCCTGTCCCACATCCCACTTCCTGAAGCAGGAGGAGGTCCCAGCCTTGTCCTCATGCCAAGCCCTGCTGTCCTTCCCCCGAGAGCCCAGACTGGCCCAGGAGGGATCCTCCTAGCTCCAGGCAGAAATGTGCAGAGCCAGAGTCTCAGCTCTCCATGGAGAACCCAGAAATGGTCTCTTTTTTTTTTTGTATGAAGATAAGGATTTAGGGGTTCTGCAGTGGCTTCTTGGCGGGGTTTGATTCCTTCCCAGATTCTGAGTGCAGAAATGCTTTCTCCAAGGACTCACAGACAGTGCCCTGGGAGGGGGACCCCACCCAGAGGGTCTGGTGGGGCGGGGAGCAGGCAAATGCTCCTCTGTGGGTGGGGGTGGGGCCACAGGATCCCAAGGTCATTAGACTTGAGACACTAGTCGATTATCAAAGCACAGTAGAGATGGCTGGCGCCCTGGCCACCAGCACGCTGGGCACAAGAGGAGCACAGAAGGACCAGGTGCGGGAGCCCGGAGCTCTGTGTCCAGAGGGCCTCTGAGACCGCCGCCGGGATCGCAGCCTCCCCATTACCTCACCACAGTCCTTTGTTTCTTTTTTTATTCAGTGTTAGTCGATGGGGTTTCTGCTATCGAGTGATTAGTCAGCAGATTAGTCAAAAGAAGATCTTTATATAAAATGTAAATATTAATATAAATTAACTTGGCATGCAACTTACGGATCAAATGAAGTATATATTATTAATATGTTATCTAATTAGTGTATAAAGGAAAACTGACTGCCATATTTACCAGATGTTTTCTCTAACCAAACTTGTCTGTAAATATATAATCTGTATAAAAAGAGTCTAATTTACCATTATTTATGCAATAGAAAAAAAACAAATAAAAGTTTTTTTTTTCTTTTGATGAGCGATTCAGTTCTTTATCTGTGCTTGTATTTGCAAATGGGTCATGAGAGTTGTTCCTGTGGCCCTGAAGGGCCACCAGATCTGTTCGGATGACAGTTCAATGTCACCAAGAAGCAGCAGGTGAGCAGCAACTGAGGAGGGGCCCCTTTTGTGGAGGAGCTTTGAAGGGGAATGATTGACAAGGGGGAAATCAGCTGCTCCGGAGCATATGGTGAGACTGGGCACGGTCTCCTGGCTGGAAACAGAGGCTAGCATCAAGAAGACTTTGCAGACATTGGAGCTAATGGCATCTTCCTCTTGGGATTCATTTGCCAAATTCCTCCCGACATTAGCATTCGGGCTCTGCAGGGCTTCCACTTAAGCCTTTGGAATTTTTAATGCTATGTGAGCTTCTTGAAGACAGAAAGGGACACTGCTCCCTTGTATAGATAAGGAAACCAAGGGCACCCACAAGTGAAGAAGTGGCCTTAACCAGGTTTTCAACAGGTCTTATCCTTAGTTCACACTCTGAGATCTCCCGGGTCCACTATGGTCCCCTGCTTTCAAGGTTGCTTTATATATACCTCCTGCTGCGGTCAGGATCTGGGGCATCCCTCAAGGCTGGCACACTGAAGGCTCGGTTCCCGGGCAGCAGTATTCAGGAGCTTTTGGGAGGTGACTGGCTCTGAGCTCCTCAGGGGGTAATGTGGGATGGTGTTGTTGGAAGGTGGTGGACCCTGTGGGTGGTGGAATCTAGTTGAAGAGGGTGGCTCCGTGGGAGTGGGTGATCGGAGGCGTTTCCCTTGGTCACACCCTTCGGCCAGGATGCTCTCCTCACTTCAGGCCCAGGAGCAGCTGAGCCAGCTGGCCACCTACTGCAAGCTCTGAAACCGTGAGCCAGAACCAGTCTCGCTCCCTCTGAGTTGATTTTCCCAGGTTTCTTGTCCCCAGTGATGAAGATGAACACATCTCCTTTCCTGGGGGCAGCTTCGGAGGTGGAATCACTCAGCATTTGTTATTGTTTAAAAGTTCTAAAATTAGAGCGTTCTAGGCTTAAAGCGCATTTTTCTTTATGTTTTTCTCTCTGTTAACAGGGGCGTCTGGTGAATCCCGGTGAGACATAATGACTTAGATTTTATCCTCTCTGATCTACATTTTAAGACTTTTTATTATAACTGAATACTTACTTGGCCATGAATATTCATTGTCCTGGGCTTTCCTGCATAACAAACAGCTCACTGGGGACAGACAACAAAGCTCAGGGTCCCTGACCCCCACACAGAGCCAGTGACAATGTAGCTTGAAGACTCAAACTGGAATTAATATCCATGGAGAAAGAAAGAGTCCCCGGGGTGGGGTGGAAATACACCGTGGAGTCCCGGTGGGGTGTTCAGTACTGGAAGGGGATGTATTTCAAAGCTTCTCTTTCAGACAAATATTTGTCCGTGGCTAGCCATGTGCACGGTTAGATGGCCATACCAGTGACATCTCCCGCCTCATCTGCAGGGTCCACTTGAAGCAAAGAGCATGGCCAGAGGACCCAAGGATCGGTGCCTGGGCTGCCACAGGTCCTGAGACCATGTTCCAGGCCTGTCTCGTGCACCCTGGTCTTACTGGCCAGTACACCTGGGCTTCCCTCACTGGGCAATGCCCTGAGCAGAGGAGACAGCTCAGCTCCAGTGTCCCTGGCTTTCACCCCCCAGGTCCTGGCATCCGGAACTGGGGGCTGTGTGGCACCCTGTGACCCAAAGCCTCTCCTGGCCTGGGTGGTCTTCTGCCATCAGTCATAGAGCTCTGTCCACTCCTGGACAGGATCCTGCTCTCATTTCTGAGTCTCCTAGGGCCAGGGAGAAAGTTGTGGGTGCTAATCACAGGGAGTTCCAGGGCTGTGCCCCAGGGCTGGGGTGGCACAGAGCCACCTTGGCTCTTGTACCTTTCTCCTCCTCCCCTGCCCGTCTTTCTTCTCTACTTTCAAGGGAGTTGGGAGTTGGCTGAGCCCCCAAGACCTCTCCCGGGTGGGGGTTCCCAGCCCATGGGAGCTGCCTTTTTAAAAAGCCCACTTCAGTTCCTTCCCCAAATATCTCCTTCTTCTGGGATGATTCCCTCGGCCTGGGACGCAGGCGCAAGGGGTGCTCAGAGCCCAGCAGTGATTCTCAAGGCCGATGGGGCTAAGAACAGGCAGTGAGCACCTCCTCTTCCCAGCTGGGATGGTTTCTGGGGAGACAGACCTGTCCTCTGAGCAAACAGGGCTCCAGGGGTAGACTGTTTCCTGGACTGGCTAGTGCACAGTCTAAGCCATCAGTCAGAAATCTGGGGTGGGCACAGTGATACCCCCGCCCCCTGGTTGGTCCTGGTGCACCTCCAGTTTGAGAACCAAAGGCCGGAGCAGTTTTCTCCAAGTGATGACTTTGGAGTTCACACACGATACGGCCACTATTGAAATCACGGGCTGCTTGGTAAACATGGAGAAGCCGGGGTCTCCCCCCAGACCTACTACACTAGGACCTCAGAGGACGGGAGAGCTGGGGGTCACTTGAGGACGTCCCCTGGGGATCAGAGAGGAGGAATATGAACTCAGCACCCGCCTGAGGTAGGAGGGCTGGGATGAGAACCTCGCCATTCCCTGGGTGGACGCTCGCAAACCTCCCAGCTCCTCCACCTCAGCAAGTGGCACCTGCCGGCCTGTGCAGGCCACCATCACCTGCAGCTGCAGCCCACCTTCCTGACACACAGCAGCAGAGTCCCGGGAGGGGCTTCGGAGGCCCTGGTCCTCCCTTCCAGGGGCGGCTGCTGGCTCACGATGGGAAGCTCACAAACCACCTTCCCTTCTGCCCCTCCAGGGTCAAAGCCCGGCTTCCCTGGGGAGCAAAGGGAGGGAGATGACTCTCCTCTTCTTCCCCGAGGTCAACCTAGACACAGGCACAGAGACGGTGTGTGCTGTGAGGCATGGAGTTTGTGTCAACAAAGCTGTCATGGAAAGTGAGCACACACAGGCCTGGAATCCCAGCGACTGGGGAGGCTGAGGCAGAAGAATTGCAAGTTGGAGGCCAGTCTCAGCCATTTAGTGAGCCCCCAAGAAACATAGCAAGACCCTGTCTCAGAATAAATATAAAGGGCTGGGGATGTGGCTCAGTGGTCAAGTGCCCAAATGTAGCCTCAAAATAGGAAAAACAGCAAGAATCCCCATGAGACGCCAGATGACTGGGCCTCCTGAGTGTGGGGCAGAGCAGCTGCAGGCTCCCTGTTTCTCCCCAGGGGCTTCAGAGAGAACGCCCTGGCTTTAGTCCATTTTCTGTTGCTGTAACAGAAAAGCTGAGGCTGTGTAAATTAATAAGAAAAGAGGTTTATTTAGCTCACAGATCTGGAGCCCAGGAGACTAGGGCTAGCATCTACTCAGCCACTGGCCTTGTGCTGCCCCAGGCATGGAGGAAAGGTGGGAGGCAGTCTATGTGGAAGAGACCCATGTTGTGGGAGGAACGAGAGAGGAAGAAGAGAAGCTGATCCAATTTGTGACAATTCTGCTCTCTGGTGACAGCCCTGCTCTGCGGTGATAACCCTGCTCTCCCGGAGCTGCGCCAGCCCCTTGTGAAGCAGAATCCCCATTGGCCTAGCCCCTCCTCAGTCCCCATCACCTTGCAGCACCAGGCACCTGCAGTTGAACCCGCCCTTAAGGCCAATTGGCTGGGTAATGTGGGCGGAGCCAAAAGAATCCCCCAGTGAGCAGCTCCGTGGTCTGAAAGGGCGGGGAAACAGCCCAATGAGCGTCACCGCAGAGGAGCCAATCAGCTGGAAGTTTGCTGGGGCCGTGCTGCCAGTGTCCTCGCCACTGGCCGGGCTGTGTTGACAGGTGGCACACTGGGCACGGCCACCCTCCTGACAAGAACCTTGCGGGAGCTTCCTGCAGCCCGGCTCTCCAGGCCTCTCAGAGGAGGACCCTTCTGGCCTTCCGTCTGGCCTCCATGGTCCAGGGTCTTCATGGGTGGGTACTTCTAGACCACCTGCTACCCTCCACCAGCTGTCAAGGACGGAGTGTCCGTCTAGTGAGGCGGTGTGGGCACTGGGAGTGTCCATGGTGCCATGGTGTAAGGGAAGATACAGCACCGTGCTGCTGAGGTGGGCCCAGCACAGCCTCCGTCTGGGACCTCTGTGGACAGACAGCCTGGACCAGTGACCGATCTGGGCTTCCTCAGCATTCAGTAGCTCACCCTGCCCATTAGTGTTCCTAGCTCTGGGCCCTGCTGGGCACAGGAGGGTGCTCCCACACAGAGCCCTGTGGGTCAAGAGATTGCTGGCAGCACGGGGCCCTGCAGGTCAGGAGGGTGCTCCCAGCACGGGGCCCTGTGGGTCAGGAGGGTGCTCCCAGCACGGGGCCCTGCTAGGCACATTTGGGCACTTGATAAACGTTTGCTAAATAAATAAATAAACCCAGAAGCCTCGCAATGCCCAGGTACAGAATCCCCCGTTGGTGCAGGGTCCTGGGCTCTCCCTCTCACCCCACACACTTCCTCTCCCATCTCCACCATGAGTCACCAGGTCATGCAGGAGCACTGTGCTTGAGTGTCTGTATTTTGACTCCTCTGGCAGGTGAGGCTCGCCCCAGCCCCTGTGATGAGCCAGGCTGAGAGGTGGTCTCTCAGGTGCTCCTAGAGAGGTCCACTGGCCGGGTCAGGGCTGGGTCCTCTGGCTGAGACAGTCCCCACCCTCCCTGTAAGCCCGGTGCCCGTCCCCTGCTGGGCCTGAGGTCTTCCTGGCCTCAGCGTGTCCCTCCCAGGCTGGGCTGGGTGAGCCCTGCCAAGGTCCCACACAGCTCCCTCCTCACACGTAAATATCCACAGAAAGGAGGTTCACCTTGAGAATTGGCCACACCAACATGGAGGCCAGGGAGTCCAAGATCTGCTGCCCGCCACCTGGAGGCCAGTGGCACAATTCCAGTCTGCCTCCAAAGACCCAAGGACAGGGGAGTTGATGGCTCAAGTCTCCCCATGAGGACCAGAGAGGCTAAGGTGAGGGGCATGAGCT